CTGGCTCCAAGAGCCAGTCTAATTAAAATGCCCAGAGATAGCCTAGTCCTGGGCAGCCTCAGGCTCAGGCAGGTGCCCTGAGCCTTGGGGTGAAGGGTAGGGGCTGCACGTGGCATGGGACACTCTTGCATGTGCTCTGATCAAGAGTTGGGGGGCAGTACTTTAATTAGAGCAGCTCCAAGAGCCGCTCCAATTAAAGTGCCGCTGTGTTTTCTGTATCGGCATCCCTACTCGTAGATATGGTGGTGGGGGGGTCCTTGAACTAAAGCTTGTTTGACGAGCTTTATTACTAAGCGTCGGTTATCAGATTGGTATTGGATGGTATGGTTGGTTAATAACTGACTATGAGTATCAGTCAAGAAAATTTTAACCGGTGTACCCCTTACCAATTTTTCTGGCTGCTAATTTAACAGCACCTTTGGGTTCTACGTAAGTGGTAAATAAGGGCTTAATTGAACAGAATGCCATATGAGCACATGAGTAATTAAGCAATCAAGTATTTGCATCATATAAGCTCGTCAAGTGCAGGTATTATAAGCTGTTACACGGAGAGAATACTTCTACCTGTATTTAAATGGAAAGAGCTGTTTTAATGAAGTCTCCATTCCTAGACAGCTTTTCACAGAACAGTCTAGAAATTATTCAGCAAGATGCAGTATTTACTAGAAGCTGTAGGTAAAAAAGAGTCAAGACATCTGACAGAGTTCTCAATGACTCAGTATCTTTTGCAAAAGTGTATTTAAGAATTGTCTTATAAAACCAATTATTTGGTACTAAAACCGTCAGTGTAAAAAGGTGATATTCCATTTTCCTCCTCAATGTAACTTCATAATCTGTCAGATGTAAATTGGGGAGTTTTAATATTGTGAGTTTTGTTGTTTTAGAGTTGGTTGTATTAGAAAATAACTTGTTTTAAAATTTCTCTTCAAAGGTAGAAGTTGCAAAATTTGATGCTTTGGAAGAAGTTTGTGCAGAACTGAAACTCAAACAGTTGCTTTGGGATTCTCTTTCTCAATGGGAAATACTCCACACAGAATGGATGGAGGTAGAATAAATGCACTGATTTCTAAATGAACAGCTATAAAGTTATCTATAGTAAAGTTTATAGTGTATAATTCTGTTGTATATAATATGCAAAACACTATAGGTATCTTTTATATTTCAAAAAGAGCACTCTAGGCTTTAATATCTCTTGAGTAGTAAAAGGTTACCATGCAACTGATCAAAGAGTTACGTAAATTCTTCCAGGAAACGCTTCTCAGATTTTTCTGTGCTATTTAATGAACATTGTAAAATCTGAATGATATGGTAGGATTTGTGCAGATAAAGTAAGATTTATTCTGACAATAACAGGTCATTAGTCAAGGCTAATTGACCCTTCTGAGCGCAGCCGGATGAGTGTGCACATGTGGCTTGTGGCGCCGCAAACCACATGCATCACACATGCAGGCAGTCGCCACACTGCTAATATGCAGCGTGTCGGGTTTTTTTGACACTGGGAGATCCCAGTGTCGCAAAAACCCAATGCCAGAAAAAAGCAGAGTGACGCACGTGGCAATGGTATGCGCTGCTCGAAACTGGAACCTGGCTGGCCAGAGCTATATTCCTGTTGCCAGCCAGACTCCATGCACCCGGATCGCCACTGCTGCAGCCCCGGGAGGGCCCCAGAACCCCAGATGCTGGCCTCAGCCTCCCCTACCCCACCTGGAGCAACTTGCTATATGCCAGAACATGTGTGCAGGAGTGTTCTCTGGGGACATCCAGTAGTGGCATGAATATGTGCCACTGATATTTATCTCTGGGGAATGAATGTTTCCGCTTGTGGGGTCACACCCTCTGTGTCACACAAACTGCAAAAGGCAAACAGAAAAAAATATATAACACTGGTCCATCGTAGGCAATTGGTCTTAGGTAACTTTTCTTTATTCTCTCTTGTTCTGTTCCATCTAAAATATATAGTAAGTGCAGCTTGATGTGGTCAAGAAGACGCTCCACAGCCTGAGTGTTGGTTATTTGTGTCTCAGCAAACAAAGCTGCTAATACCAATTTGTTCATAAAATTATTCAGCCTCTTCTATCCAGCAACAACCTCCTGCAACAGTGATTTTTCCATTGGACAACTAGAAAAGGGCAAGATTAGAAGTACAATTAAGCCTTGTTAAGGACTCTTCAGATGTGAAGGATCACATATTCACAGATCCATGCTCCCTACAAGTGCTAAGTGCTCTCTAGGCATCTTAAAATTATGTCATTTGAAGTGAGGATTTTCTTTGAGCTGTGCTATTCAGCTCAACTTTTCCCAACTTCTAATTGGTCAAGGGAGATCAAATAACCAATTTGCAGTCCTCTAGTATCCCAAGTAGCTTCCAGGTGTACTAGCTGTCTTCCTGGACTCCAGTGCCCTTCTCCCATCCAGTCACAGCCGAGACAGTGGAGCAGCAGCTGGTGAGTGAGGAAGGAATCTGTCTGAATGCAGGGAGAGTGGGAGGGGGAGGGAGGAAGGGAGCTGCCCTACTACTGAGATGGGGAGCTATACCCACAGCACAGCACAACATACAAAGCACAACACGTGTTCACAGCACAACATGACGCACACACTCACAGCATAGCACGACACGCATGGAGGTGGGGGTGTGTACCTCTGGCTGCTGTCCAGTGGCAATGGCAGGGTTTCTTGCATGCTCTTGGTTGGGCTCTGTTCTGCCCTGTGCAATCAGGGACAGCCACTCCCCCACTGCTGCCTCCCTGCCCTCCCTGTGCTGCTTGTCAGCAGCCAAGAACAAGTCTGGGGATGGGGTGTTTACATGTGTGCGTGCATGTGCATGCATGTGCCTGCATTGTGCTGGGGGGATGCTCTGCAGGACAAGAGGGGGTGTTAGTGCTAGAGCCAGCAAGCTGAGCAGGCAAGTAACAGATTTGTCAGCTCCTAGCTACATGCCTGCTCTCCAGCCCTCTGGCAGCAGCTCAGAGCTATGCATGTTACAGAGGATATTATCCCTGAACATGCCACTGCTCCCATTGCATGCTACCTTTAACATTCCTTAAAGTTAGCAGGTACTAACTGAAATGTGGAAGCACACCCTTAGTGCTTCTATGTCAGCTCCTTTTTCATTGCCAGCTGAGAGAGACATTCTCCATGACACAATACAGCTTCATCAGTCCGAAAAATTCAACATTTTAAATGCTTTGACCTAATCTTTGTGAATCTGTCATCAGGATTTACAGTTATGTATGTAGCAACCTTGGGTTTTGTCAGTAAAAATAACTGAAGGGGAAATGAAGATGATTTTATGCTAAGTTATGTATTCTGAACAACTTCTAAATATTAGTACTTTGTAATTTTTATCTCCCTCACTGCTTTTGACTCTTATTGCTTGTTCATGTCAAATTTGGACCAAGTGTTGCCATCCTACAAAGCACTGAAGTGCATTTCCTATCGTGTATCTAGGTGCCATACTTTATTAACTGGGAGCTTTTTTCTAGCAGAGCAAAGCAGAATTAAACTGCTGAGGTGCATGTTGACTCATAGAAAATAGGGCTGGACAGAGTCTCCAGGGGTCATCTAGTCCAGCCTCCTGCCTCAAGCAGGATCATCTCTATCCAGACCACCCCATACAAATCCCGTCTAACCTATTACTAAAACTACACAATCAACCCTGTCACAGCTGCAAGGTATAGCACTCTAACCTGCCACAGCTAAAGCAGGTGGGCTGCGGTGGTTAGTGGCTGCATCTACAGGAGATGCTGACTGCACAGTAGCCTGATACTACTGTACAGTAGCGTTGTGTGGCAAAAACAGTGACATGACCCTACTGCACAGTAGTATTAGGCTATTGTGTAGTAGCATCACAAAAAAGGCATTTATTGGTGCTACTGCACAGTAACAAAGCATGGCTTGTGGGTTGAATGTGGCCTGTGGAGCCACTGGATCCAGCCTGTGGAGCTGCAGGACTTTGCTTGTGCCTGCTTCTGCAATGGGGCTGAGCAGCAAGGAGTTGCACTACGGCCAGAGATCTGGGAGTTGTGCCCATGTCCCTTCTGCTTCTCTCCCTCCTACCCTCCCCCTTCCTCAAGGCGACGTCATGGGACTCAGCCTCCAGCTGGAGGGGAGCAGGAACCCAGAAGTTGTGCCTGTGCCACTACCACTGCTGCTTCACTGTACCTCCTCTTTTCCCCTCCCCAAGAATGTGATGCAGTTTCCAGACAGAGGAGAGCTGTATCAGGGCAAGGAGCTTGAAGCTGTTTTGATGCTGCTGCCATTTCTCCCCACTGTCACCCTGACACCCCTACCCAGCCCAGCCTTCAGGAGGGAGAAGGAAGGAAGGGGGTGAGGAGGTAGAGAGAAGCGGTAGTGACAGTGGCAGTGGCAGTGGAATGGGAACAGCTTCCAGCTGCCTGGCCCCAGCACAGCTCCTTCCTGGCTGGAAGCTGCACTTGCACAGTGTCAGGGAAGTGAGGAGCTGGGAGAAGTGGTGGCAGCACAGGCATCAGTTCCTAGCTGTGTGGCTCTGGCAGGGGTGCAGCTTGAAAAAGGATGCTGACCCTTGCTTTAGCATATACAATCTTGAAGCCCTGAAAGATACACAATCCATTTCTATAAATGACTGATACATATGGCATAAAAAATAGAAGGGTTGAGTGCATGTGGATTGTAGTATCAGGCCCCTAGATCATCACTCTCACATTTATTTTCTGGAGTAACATACTGTTCAAAGTGAGTTGAGGTAGCAAATTCTTTTCTTGTATCAATCATTAAGGGTATTTTCTGTGCTTGATTTCTACAGTCTAAGTTTGATAGCCTGGATCCAGAACTCCTGAATTCTCAAGTTTCTAAATATGCCAAATTTGTAAATCAGTTGGAAAAAGGTTTACCACCTAATAATATAGTGCCACAACTCAAAGAGAAGGTAGAAAACATGAAAGACAAGGTAAGATGTGAATTTAAAACTACCTTCCAAAAACATGAAATTGAAACATACAAGTGAATTTTAAATGGTCTTCAAAGATTGTTTTGTTTTCTGTTATTCCTTCAGAGGCAAATTGGAAAAAGCAATGGGGATTTTTTCCCCTGAAAGTTGAAACATTTCAAACAAACAAAAAGAAATTGAGAAAAAATCATTTATTCTAAAAACAAGATGAAAAGGTTGAAATTTAAATTGTGACCACTTCTAGTCATGAACTCTATTTGAAAGGCATACTTTGAGAGAAGTCTAAGTTTGTAAGATAAGCTTAATAAACTTAATAGGAGAAAAAGGTAATATTCTGGTTGGTTTGCTTTTTCAGGTCCCAGTCATCACAGACCTAAGAAACCCCTTTTTGAAACCAAGACACTGGACACTTCTGGAGCAAGTAGTTAATGCAACGCTTTTTGATCTGGAAAATCCATTATCTTTGGCAAGACTTGTTGAACTCAGTATATTTGACTTTGCTCAGGAAATTCAGGATGTTTCTGGGCAAGCATCTGGAGAAGCTTCTTTAGAAACAATGCTCAAGAAGGTAACTTGTATGAGCAAATTACTGGGGTTTTTTTCACACAACATGCTCTAAACCTTAACCATTATATTGACTATTAAGAAAAAATCTTTCTCTCGCAATTACAGTTCACAGAATTTAAGTACCATGTTAATAATAAGTAGAAGTTTTTATTTGAACTAAATATAAAGCAGAAGTGCAATATCTGTTATATTGCCCCATGCTCTTCCATGGGACATGTTCAAGAAGGGTTTATTAATACAAGAACTCATCCTGAAGCTGCACTGTCCATGTAACTTTCTTTGGCACAGAATGTTGGACTCACAGAAGAGAACGTGGTTTTTCTGTCTCTTCTGATGTAATGAGTATCAGTAAGTTTGTGCTGATGCCATGTTTTAGCATGTAACAGCTCTATGAAACTTAACATGATTGTAAGCAGACAAAACACAAGTCATGTTTGTTATAGCTCTGTTCATAATGAGAAGAGAAAAACTTGATGCATGCATGTTCAAAGGAAAAGGACAAAGTCAGAAGTGATTTTTTTCCTTCTCTCTCCCAACAAGAGACAGAACAAGGAGCAATGGTCTCAAGCTGCAGCAAGGGAAGTTTAAGTTGGATATTAGGAAAAGCTCTCTCACTAGGAGGGTGGTAATGCACTGGAACAGATTACCTAGAGAGGTGGTGGAATCTCCATCCTTGGAGGTTTATAAAGCTTGGCTTGACAAAGCCCTGGCTGGGATGATCTAGTTGGAGATAGTCCTGCTTTGAGCAGGGGGTTGGAGTAGATGACCTCCTGAGGTCCTTTCCAACCCTCACTTTCTATGATTCTATAATTCTAAGAGATATGAAACACCATAAAATAACAGCCATTTAGCCATATCTGTTTACATAAAAGTCTACTTTTCATTAATCAAAATTAGATCATTTACGTTTCATTTAATTTGGAAAGTCTAATATTTATTATTGTAAGTAGATTTACAAGGTTTATAATTTTTTTCAATGAGGTGGAAGATGCTTGGAAAACTACTGAATTCATTGTTCTTCCACATCGTGATTCTAAAGACGTTTTCATCCTTGGTGGCACAGATGACCTGCAAGTAAGTAACTCTTGCTACTTAAAAGTTGGGTGAGGACACTAGCAGCAATTGTTACATTTATAAGATCCTGGGAAATGTCTAGTAGTGTTTTTTTGTTGGTGAAGTATTACCCCATCACATGACAAATTTTAAATTCACATTTTTTAGCCATTTGATAACAATCTGTTTTCAAGATAAAAAATAGTTTGCAGTTTATATAGACATTCAGCTCTGTTGGTTACCACTGCAGTATCTGGACAGCCTTGTTGTAACAACTGGTGCCCCACAAGCAGTTAATGTGCAACCTGTGGGCCTGGATGGCCTTATGGTAGGTCCATGCACTGCCTGTGTAGCCTACTATTGATTTCAGTGGGGGTTGTACTCTGCCAGCTACCCACACAGTGTGTAGCCCATGCAGTGTGTGGCTCAAGGTCACATGCCAGCAGCACATGTAGTGCCAAAGTTGAAGAGCCCTGCATCATGGTATGTAATTTCTGTTAATGTACACATGATGCAGGTTTTGCCTAATGTTAAACATTAGACCCAAGATGTGTAATGTGCCACTGTTTTGCAGCTGGCTACACACAGGTAAACATTTGCTTAGGACTGACACAGGTGGTTGGGGCCCACCTGTGCAGGGCTGTTTGAAAGATCAGAACCAAACTTCCTGTGATTTAGAAAACTTATTATAAAACTTGCTTAACTGAGCCAAACTTGAATTCAGTTTAGGCAATAAACAATATGTATTGAGAACAGCACAGCCTCATGTTTCCACTATCAAGGTTGTTAGGGCTTGGGGGCCACAGGCCTGCCCAGCCACATGCTGTGTAAGAGGTGCAACCCCCTAGGTGACATACCTCTTGGGCTGCATGCTATATTGTGCTATGTGCTCCTCCCTACTGCACGTCACTGTGTAGCTTCCCTCCTCCCCCTCCAGCCCCCTGTGTGACCAGAAATGCCTCCAGAGGACAGCCATGGCACCCTTTTGAGTAGGGACAGGCAAAATAGGGCCCATGGGCCAGACCAGCTTGCCAGGCAATTTCATCTGGCCTGTGGGTAGGTACCCACCAATTAAGTGTATCTGGCTTGGCTCACAGCTGCCCTTGGCTCACTCCCACCTGGGCAGCACACTGCACTCCCCCCCTCACCTGCAGGAGGGCCCTAGTCCTGGTTAATGGGCACATTTTTCAGGCAGGGCTGCAGATGTTGCAGGCACCTGGGGACCTTCTTGGCTCCCCTGGCCTCCATCAGCTCTTCCTCCTGTCCCTGCTGGAGCATTCCAGGCAGCAGATAGGGAAGCAGCAGCAGGTTGGGGGGTGGGGAAGCTGCAGCTGGGCAGGAATGTGCAACCCACATTGGGGGCAGGGCAGGGTGGCAGGAGCATAGAGCCCAGGTTGGTGGGAGCATGGGGCCCAGGCCCATGGGACTCCCCGTGGCTCACATGCAGCTCTTGGGACTCAGCTGGGAGCTGCTCATGATGGAGGCAGTGGTGGCCTGGCCCTGCTCCATGCCCCCATGTGCAGGTCCCAGGACTTTCTGGGAGTGGCATGGAGCCATGTGTAGTGACTCCTGGCTAGCTGGGCCCTGCTTCCTGCCACCCAGGCTGCAGGGAGCGGGGCTAAGCTGCCAGCTCCATTGTGTGGGGCTCCCCACAGGAGTGCATAGCTCTGGCAGAATCCTAGGAGCTGGCAGCCTGGCCCTGCTTCCTGCCACCACATTCAGCTTCCAGGACTTGGCCAGAACTTAGCGCTGCCAGGGGGCTCCATCTCACATGGGTCATGAATGTCCCAAGGGCATGCTGCTGCTGCATTATGGAGGAGGATGTGTGGGGAGCAGGCCCTACACCCCAAACCCCAGCATACCCACACACACCCCTACACCCCTCATGTCCCCCACATCCCTCAACAAACCCCACACACACCCACATCTCACCACGTCCACATACCCCACACACTCCCCTCCACACACTGCATACACCCCTCCCACACAGTATACAAAAGTCAGACTTTATTTTGATCTATTTTGCAATCACCTCTATATACACTATGCACACACACACACACACACATAAATCAGGCCAAAATATTTTTTGAAATAAAATTAAACTATGTTATAGTAGGTGTTTGATTTTTAGTATATGGTTTGGTTATTTTCTGGTTCCAAGATGACACCCCTCCGCCCCCCCCCCACACCTCAAAAGGACTACTCCTGGGGGCAAGGGGAGGGAGTTTCAGGGCAAAGTCAGGGGTTAGGTGCTGGACTTCTGGCCCCGAGATGGTGATCAGGGGGTGGGGCACCTGTCAAAGAGTGGGGCTTCCCTTACAGCCCTCAACAGCTCACCAAAACTTATTAAGCGGCCCTCTAGCCAAAGTAGTTGCCAACCCCTATACTAGAGGACATTCTAATTCCTGTCCTGCACTGTTGGTCTCTTGGCCACTGCCCTACGTTCGTCTGCCACCCTTGATATCTAGATAAGATATGGGAGGCTGCCCTCCAAGACCAGTGTAAACCCTTGGTGCTTCCTTCTTTCTTGCTCATTGCTGAGTGGCCTCCTCCTGGCCCAGATCCCCATTTCCTTGTTATGCTTCTAGCTTTCCCCCCCACCTACGGGCTCCCTGGCCCTGCCTCACTTCCCTTTTTGTCTCTGGGCTTGCCAGCTTTGCCTCTGGGTCATGTGTCCCAGGTCCTTTGGTCTACCCCCTATACCTAGCAAGTGTCCCTAGGCTCTACCAATATCAAACATGGCCCTATGGGCTCTAATTGCGGCCCTCTAGGCTTTGACCACATTAAGAAGCTCTCTGTTTGTTGGGCCCCTGGCACTTGCAAAGCATGACTCCCTTCCCTGCAGTCCCTCTGGGCCCCAGACCCTAGCTGGGTACGCCCCCTCCCCCTCTCGCCCTCTTTGCCTTCAGTCTCCCTGGCACACTGGGTCCAGGCCACTCTTT